CCAAACTCGATTAATTTAGACAATTTCATTTTTACTCCCGCCATCGCCAAAGCCTCGATCGCTCTTGATTAATTATCAATTAATAAATTTTATCAATCTCGACAATTCCATTTCCTGGCTTCCATCATCAAAGTCGCACACCGGTCACGCTCTTTCCACGATTAAACCCCGAAAAGAACTTTTTAAACGTTATCCCTCGACCACCACCCCCTCCCTCCACCCCGTGATGACCGCAAAGTTCACGGAACACGTACAGCAATACGTTCTATCACGGTAATAAAAGAACGCGGTAAAACGCAGTGGTTTTATAACCGACGCCAACCCCCACAGGTCAAGGAAATTTCTCGGCTTCCATTGTAGAATCCCGATTTTTCAACGATCAAAATTTGATGATAAACCGCGTTACTTCTCCATTTGCAAATATGTATTAGCATAATTCTTGAGCTAATAGTTTTACGATACCTATCTTCGAGATTATTTTCAAATTGTGTGTGTGTGTGTGTGTGTTTACTCGAGAGCAATCTTCGAGAGAAATTGTTATCGAGACGGGGGATAGAAAATTCGCAGTTTATTATCCGGAACTGGAACTCTGAGAATCGTATTCATTTGAGAGCAATGTAGAAAATTCTCATTCTTGGATAGTCATCCTCAACGTGATGTCCATTCACGAGAAATACGCTCGAGGGCGATTCGAAATAGTTTTATCCTCAAGCGGGCGTGTATCCTTAGAATACGAACTACGGAAATTGCTACTTTTAATGGACACTGTCTTGAGAATTATACCAATAACTCTCCCTGACTGGTAGTGTCTACCCACCAGTTGGAGAAAAATAATTCCACGTAGAATTTTCAAACGATCTACCAGCATATGCAAGCTTGAGATAACAGTCCAAATATTTTCCCCCAAAAAATTAAGAACCGAGCCGATCAAAAACCAACATTCACGAACTCTGTTTTCGGATCCACTGTGACGATCTCTCGCGTAATACACGCACTTCGTTGAGACTAATATTTAAAGAGAAAAATATTCTCAACAAAATTTTCTCTTAATTAATCTCACAATCCTCCCGATATTTACCCTCAACTCCCGTATAATAAACATTGCAACATCAAAATAAACCTTTCCAAGTTTAACACCGCCGATTATTCCGCAAGTTGTTCCACGGAGCTAAATGGTCGAGATTGGAACGGTGCCGCTCGTAAAGATAGTTTCCGCTTTAAAATACGCGATGGTAAATATTTTACTATCCCGTGTCGGAAGAAACGCGTTCTTGGAGGAGAGAGAGAGAGAGAGAGAAAGAGAGCTGGTTGAATGGCGTTTATGGCTTGGTCGTGAAACATTTATCGGGATCCACGAATGCTCGCCACTCGTATTAGCGGCTCTCAACAATTACGCGTCGTTACTATTTGATTATGGCCCCGGTTCTGTGTTAAACGACGATTCTCCTAGGAAGGTTTAGGAAGCTGGTTCTTCCATTAAACGTGGAATGAAGAGGCTCTCCTCGAGCGGCGTCCGCCATTACTCAACCGGAGGTAAAGAGTTTGGTCGATCGACCCAATTCCTGCTTTTTTCCGTGATTTGCTTTGCGCGCTTTTATCCGCGCAAGAGAGATCCGCCTCTCTATTCACGGATTAGCGTGGCTTATCGATGTAATTTGTTCGAGGAGAACAGGTAATCAGTTCGAGGTGGACCCCAACTCCTCGAGCCCGGCCTCTCTTTAACGGCTGGTCCTTCCACTCGGCCCTGGTATTTCCGTGTAACGCACGCCCGATTCTAATCTAACGTGTGTATGTTATACACGCTTTTAATTCCCCGTACTCGAGTGTGTTTCCGTGTCGACTGGGTGAAACGGATCGCTTGATACGAATTGCGGTCCCGGTTTTTAATGGAATGGACTTTGAAAAAAAATGGGCAGATTTTTTCCTCTTCCCCTTTGAGAAATCGAAGTGATTAGGGATATTTCTGTGTTTCTGTGTAGTCGATTTATTTTTTTTTTTCGTATGAATGGCGGAGGAGGACAAGTGGTTTTCGAAATATAAAGCTTTGTTCATTCTGGTTGGTATTATTTCCTTTTATCAGGAATTTTTAAATTCCTTGTGTAATTTTTTTTTTTTATAAATTTTGACGAGAAGATTAAGACGTTTAGTAACTCCAGTAATAGGATCTATTTATCTAAATAATTAAACTTTTTGTCATGAAAGTAAAAAGAAATAATTGAATTTTTGGAAAATGTATGATAGTTTTTATCTATAATTTATATAAAAAATATTATGGATTTATTTCTTTCTTTTTGCATTGTTTTATCGATGATTAACGATCTTTTTTTAATAATTTTAATAATTAAGGTAAAAATGATATTCATATGAATTGTTTTTCATTAATTGTCTTTCTATTAAAATCATATGTGTTTATAAAATGTTTTTTTTTTCGAAAGCTTCAATTAACGAAATAAATTATTAAATTTTATTCTTCATCGTTTATTATTATACGTATAATAACCTCTCTATTTATCATTATAAATGATGAATATTCATTAAAACATGCGTGCATGTGTTTAATATCGGGGGGGGAAAAAAAAACGGTGAAGAAAGTTGTAGAAAACATAAATTTAATTAAAACAGTGCGACATACATAACACTAGTAATTTTTAATTAAAATATGAAGAAAGGAAATACGAATATATATTTATAGAAGATGCAAAATTCCATCAATAATAATGCCGTGTTGTAAAATCGATATTGAAAAGACTTGTTAATTTTACTATTGATTGAACGTTTAAATTTATAATTAAAAAATCGTCTTAGAAATTTCCATTTTTAAACCATGTATAAAACAATTTAAAATTCTACAATTTCTTTTTATAATATAATCCTTGCAAATAACTATAATTAATCGATTAAAATATATATATATATATACATTATCGTTTTTCTATGAATATATTATACTTTTAAAATGACATTATTCATATGATTTAATATGATCCATTGTCCACCACTTCGTTCATATAATAACCATGCAAAAAGTATTCACAATCGTTTCATCGAAGCATCGACTTCCGTTTTAATTTGCATACAGCGTTCATGTGGAAAGTTTAAGTAATTACACGATAGTTTACCTTTGTTCCAGACATGGCACGGTCTTTCGAGTGTGGCGGCCGCAATAATTATCTAAACGGTCCGCGAATTCCGCCCCATCTCAGGCTGGTTAACGATCTTCCGGATGGAAACTGTTTCCTCCCTACTTTCCAACCAAGTATCAAGCAATTTTTCTTCCCTCTCGACGAGCGGCTCTTTATCGACACGAGGGATCGAGGGAATATTGTAAAAATTTCGATAGCTTCGAGAGTGTTCGTGCTATCTTTATGGAATCGCTGTCAACGTTCTGACAAACGAGCCACGCTCATTTTGTTGATAGTTAATTAGAGCAAATGTTAACCGTTTCGTATTTCGCGTGAAGGGAAGATAATCAATTTCCAGCTGTTCTAAATTTTGTTTGCAATTCAAGCAGGAAGATATGTTTCTTTTCAAGAAAATTTTATGGATCGATGGGTTTTAATTAATAGTTAATTATGAAGACATAGTTAGATATTTATAGTTGTAATTTATATATTAGTTTGTCTTTGTAGAAGAAATATTCTTAAAATTATTTTATCTATATAATATATTTATTATTAGTATTACTTGTACAGTTTTGAGAATTTAATTTAATACTTTATTAATGCATGGTAATTGTTCAAATATTTTGCAACAGATGTTATACATATTATACTTTTAACTTTTATTCATTTTCTCATCTAATAAATCTATCATTCATTATTCATTTTATTAATATACAATAGTTCATTTGCAAATTAAAATTTTAATTTTAATAGATAGACACTTTTTACACTTCTATATTTATTCAGTTTCTCCTCCATATTATTCTTCCTCTCTTATTTTTCATTTCAAAGCAGTACCAATTTTCAAGAGGAAAAAATCAATATCATGAATATTAAAATAGAGCCATAAATGATGCAATTTATTTTCCAAATGAAAAGATATTAAAGGTATTATATTACAATAATTCTTTATGCAGTAAACTACACTGAACGTATACAATTACCGAGATACATACCATATATACATAATTTAATATATAAGTGAAAGTGTAAACTGATAGGTATATTGTTCATTACAGCTAGAAAGTGTTGTATATAGTATTACTACGCAAACTACGCTGGTTGACGCACTTCAGTGAAGGCATACTAGTTAATTAGCAACCTCATTATGATACAAATTCCATTAGAGATGTAAACAGTTTTATTAGCAAATGATTCCTGCTAATCTGTTTGCAAAATATATGATCATTCTTTGATTATTAATTAAAAGATGAATTATTTCCTGTATTTACAATTTCTACAAGTTGATTTCGAATTTTTGAACCATCGAGAATTAACTTGTAATTGTTATTTAACATTCGAAGAAATGGAATAATTCGAGCATTGTGCAAATGTGATACTGGATCTCAAAGACAAGGAACTGTATGTATATTACAGCTATTATACGTTCTGATTTCACTAAAGTTCAATAGAGTAGAACTCCATTAATCTGAACCATTCCAGAGACAATTCCGGTTCATAGAACTATGTACAATATGATACAGATAGTATAATAGGAGTTTACTTATGCTCTTCAATATCTATACCTTCGTCCACATTTGGATTTAATCGACAAGAGTTTGTTTAATCGGACGATCAACTACGATTTATTCCAACGAATGGATCTCTATTATTTTGCAAATAAAGAATTACATTACAAACGATATTCACCCAGTTGCATAGAATAATTACTTTCTAATTATACAAGTTATTCATTTTAATTTACCCAATCGATTATATCGATTATACATCTTTCAAATTTACCATATCTTTCAGGATTTTACATTTAATTCAATTTACATTAATTATCGTTCAATAATAATTTCTCAATATTCCACTTCTAGAGCTTTCCAATTCTATCTTAATAAAAAATTTTACTTCGTGAAATATTCTTAATTACCTAACCTAATAATTATCTAATCGAAAGAGAATTATACCGATTTTATATTTTCGACGATACGAAAAATAAATATGCTCAGTTAATGAAAGATCTATATATTGATGAACTGTCACAAGAAATTTAAATTTAGTAACGCGTTTAACTTAATTCTTATTTATTATCCAACATCTCATCCAACGAAATATCTAAAAATGCTCGAAATACTTGTTCTTTAAACAAGATTAATTTCATTAGAGGAAAAAGTATTTTATCTCGGTTGGTGGCGGCGCATTCCACCAATTCGGAATTCAGGCTCATGCGAAAATTCCTGGTGCAACGAATTTATCGCGGAAACACGTAATATCAATAGTTTAATCGTTCTGGTGTCAGCCCCACTCGGGCCAACGATATTCCACTTACAATTTCGTTCGGCAGGCGTCGCCTTATCGGAAACAATTTATCAACCGTCCGGGACAATGCGATCGCCCCGCCGTGAAATCGGCATAATTCAACCGGTTATTTTACCATTTGCACGATACGTATTAGATTCTCTCAAAAATACTTCTCGTTTATCCACTGTCCAATCGCGGAGGAAGAGGACAAATAATTGGAATTTTTTATACCTTCAGAAACGAGATATACGTATTTCCAGGATATGTATTGGATCGTCTGAAACATTTTTCTTCGTTTATTTATCGTGCCAATCGTGGAGGAAGAATTTTAGAATTGTCAACATTTTATTATCTCTGTCGAGAAACTCTGTTTTTCGTCTATTCTTTAGATAGCTTTTACGTTAAACGATAATAAATAATAATAATTATTGATTGACAATACTTGTTGCCCCTAAGACAAATATAAATTGGAAGAAATATGTTTAAAAATGAATTTTTATAGATATCTTATATTATGTTTCTAAAACCTTCAGAATTTAATTTTTCCAGCAAGTAACGAAAGAAATATTCGAAACAATCTGATATAGCTATAAATTATTCCAGTTTTCCTGACTAAAAAAATGTTATTTATATAAACTCAATTTATAGAAAATAATTAAAATATAATAACTTTTTAAATTATCAAACGATCCACAAAATTTTCCTCCTCATTTTCATTTCCAATTTATGCAACTGCGCTTAAAAATACAATTACACCGACAGATCAGAATTAATACGCGATGTATTATCCCGTGGATGATTTATCGAGGGAGCAGGTAGTCGCGATTCGGTCTCAGTCAGTCATCGGCCTTCCTCTTCTTCTTCTTCTTCTTTCCGGGACAATCAATTTTGATCGGGATCTAGCGCTCGTCCATCCTTGTCAGACGGTAATTAACGTAAGCAAAGATCGTTATCTCCTTTGAAGTCGGCCTTCTTCTCCACCTCCGTCTCGCCACCCTCGCACCCCCGCCACCCCTCCCTGCCGCTTCTTTTCACCCTCTTGCATACGTATACATCCCTAGCCCCCTCTTTCCTGGTCCCCTGCTGCCTTTGCTCCCTCGTCGGCCCTTTTAGCCACCCTCTTGCATCGGTGTACCTCGCACAGTCATCGCCTCTGGAACACCGTCTGCCGTCTTCCCAATCCGTCTCTCGATTCCTACGTGTCTTCGATTCGACTCTCTGCTTTTTATTTCTCTCTCCTCTCTCTTTCTGTTCGTGGATGATGGAGTAATAGTATTGATCGATGCACATTGCGATTTGCATCGAACTTCGAAGTACATTAATTATTGTCCACAAGTAAAACGTGGACATATTTGCTGTTTCCATACAACGCAACGTATCTACGTTGCGTTACGTGGGATCATTTGGATCGAAACATTTATGGAAACTTTTACAATTAATTCTTTTCGAGTAATTATTGTAATTAAGGAAGTACAGTGGGATGGTTAAATGATGTTCATGTTATTAAATATTTAATTTTCAAATTCAATTCTCCTTTTTACAAGAAACCATTATATACGTTTCAACATTTTAACCATTCTACGCTCGCTCCCTTCGATTCCTCTTTCTTCTCCTCTCAATTTCTTTTCCCCCTTCAAAACTTCCCCCAGGTCTGTTCGATCACCACGATTTTCGTCGCGGACGAATGGCTCAACCCTTTACCCCCGTAATGCCATATCCGGATGGATGGAGAGGATTCGAATTCACCGTGCAATGTGATTTTCATCGGACCGCAGCAAACGCCGCGTGCCATGCGGTTCGTCCACGCATGTGTGTATTAGTGCGAAGATGGGCGCAAGTATGCAGCCGCTTGATCGAACAGGGAGGGTGATGAAGGAGGGGGGGAGATGCTTTGGAAATTTCTATGCGCGCGTTTCGAGCTTCATTTCAGCGGCGGTGACCATTGAAAAATTAGCCGGTGGTCGCCGCTGTGTGAAAACCGTGGACCCGACTCGAATGGATCCTTCGTTTGCGGCCGTTGCGGCTATCCCCGCCAAACAGATTCCCTGTCATCTCTGACGCATTGAATCACACGTTGGTCGGCCGATTTCGAAGAACTGTCGAAAGTTGTCCGTTCCTTTCCTTTGGTATAATTGTATTCATTTGCATACGTCAAAGATGAAAGGAAATCTTTCATGGAATTATTCCAATGTCTGAATTCGATTTTTGTACAAAAATTCATCGATGTACAAAATATTTTTAAGATTGCTTTATTGATTTCTAATTTTAGTAATTTTATTTATTTAGGTAAGAATATAAGTCGATATGTTATATAATAATGTTGTTGCGGTAAGATTGAAACTTTGTCGAAGGGGAGAAATTTTTAATCGTATTATATTTGAAAAATTTTAAAAATTAGATGAAGACTTATTTACTTATAACAACTTAAACTTAAACTTTATTCTAATCTTTTGTTAGAAGAAAATGTAATGTAATCATGATTTTTAAGAAACCAATACATTTCAGACGATTTATTTTTATAACAATGTTTTTTTAATATTTCACAATTTGAATATCAATTGTTATTTACAAAAATATTTTATATATTCGTTATATAGATTCGTCTAGAATACATCGTCTGATTCTGTTAATATTAAATCATACAATCAAAAGCATTGGCCATCTGCTCGACAAACCGCGATGTGTATACTTGAAACAGTCATTTTACCGAGGACCGTAGAACCCGCCATTTTATGTCGCGCATTTTGAACTGTACATAAACCTCGACGTTTGTTATTCTTTATACTTTTCGAGGTCGATCTGGAAGGTTCTCCATAAAATCCACTGACAATCAAGTTTTACGAGTTAATTCATTGTCCTATAGACCTGTATCTACTCTATGTTACATCTCTATATATGATAAAAATGGATAAAATTTTTCTATTGCATAATAAACTTAAGAATTGATATATAAAAATATCAATTAAGATTTATTTATTAAGTCATAAGCAATTAAAGTTTGCATTAGATGAAAGAAGATCAGTGAGATAGTTTTATTTTCATTGTCTCATTTTATATCTATCTCACTTTATTTAATATAAATTTAAATTGCATATAAGTTAATAAATAAGCTTTAAACTTTGTATTTATTTTTGGTTTCCAGAATCGACTCTCCGAATAATTCATGAATATATTAACAACCTGTAAATCAACCTCTTTTAACGTTCTATTTTATTTTATTTTTATTTTATTACGTTTATTTTTGAATCTATTTCATTTATCCAAATTTTTTTTAATATTCTAGCTTCTAAAAACTTCAAAACAAATTTATAATTATCTATAACTTATCGGATAACATTTTATCTTAATTGTTAAAAAATTTTTTTGCTAAAAATTCAAAATGAAGTAAATTTCGATGATACGCTAATGGATAATTAGTTAATTAAAAAAAATATAGGATGATAAAGTTTCTTAAAAATTTACGTTTCACATTGAAAAAGATTTAAACAAAAGATTTAAGATTCTAATTCTATGGTAATGCCCTGGTGCAATCTCGCCTTGTCTCGTTCTTAGGTACATAATATCACGTTCCTTAACCGTCTTAAATTTTTCGAGACCCGACAGCTAACCAGAGCAATTCACTCTTTCGTGTAACGTTTCTACCTTAAAACGAGACTCGTCCCTCAAAGGATTAAAGGAAAGCAAGCTCTATTATTCCAAAGTCTACAATTTGCTTCGTTTGAGGTCTGCAATTATCCCTAAGTCGCATTTATTTACTGTTTACCGAAAATTTAAATTGAAGCAATCGTTGCATCCGCAACCTTTGTCACAAGTAACACTGAAAACTCCTTTCAAACGAGCCCAGATTAATTTCTATTGAAATTCATCCGTTTCTTCCTATTCTCCCGTTTCACGGTTGCCATATAAACACACAACCATCGCTATTCCTACTCCGTACTATAAAACTCAGCCAAAGAGAAAACCATAAAAGCCAGTGTGTTAATCCAGAGCCACTAAAAAAAGAGAGGGGGAAAAAAATTGAAAAGAAAGAAGAAAAAGAAAAGAGGAAGAAAATAGAGAGAAAAAATTCACAGTGTACAGTTCCTGCTCAAGAAATTAAGGCGGTTCGTAATTTTTAACATTCTTCGTATTTTTTTTTTTTTATATATATAATAAAATTCAAAGAAACTAAAATTATTGCTAATAATTTTTACCAATTACGTTTCATTCATTTATTTTTTTTATTAAAGTAAACTTTTGCGACATACACATTGTTTTATTTTTGCCAAATGTCTAGAATTTTCTCTTTAAATCAGCTAATCTGACGATTGGTGATGCGTAAACAAATGTTTTATAAATATATAAACATTTGATCTTATATATATATATAATCAATGAAATATTCAATTAAATTTCGTCCAAGTTTTTAAATCTGATTAAAAACACAAAAAATATTAGGAAGAAAGCGCGAATGATCCTAATTTTATAACCATGTCAAAAAATCTAGACGACCGTGATATGTTTTTTCCCAAATGAAATTCTCCTTCTTTGCACGATTCCCTCGTCTCGATGCGGATCGTCACGATGTAAAACAGATAAAAAACGCCGGACACGAAATTTCTTCTGCCTGATCCCCCGTCTTCTCTCCCCGCCCATTGTCCGTTTCCTCCGCGTTCGCGGCCGTAAGAACGGCAAACAAAGGCGAACCGTGAAACTCCATGCACGAACAACTCGTTTCTGGCTCCCCCAATCTATGTCAGATCTCGAAAGAGAGGGAACCGAGCGGCGGAAGTGTGACGTCAGGGATCAGTCGCGGAGATTCGGCTCACAAAATAGGCGTGGAGCACGGCCACGCACACAATTACCTCGCCCCCTCGAGGAGAAAAGTGGCTCTGAGGGTTTTTGCTTAACGATATACACCGGCGGGGTGTTTACCAGCCCTCGTGTATTTACGCTAGGATTTTGTACACGATGGTGTCGAACTGGAGGAATGGCAAATGTATATTTTCTTCTTCTGCTTTCGAATCGATTTCTTTTGGTTTGGGGAGACGCATGGAGCGGTCGTGGATCTTGCTCGAGGGGTGTGTGTATGTTTTTTCTACGGCTCGAGGGGTGAAAATTGTGATGTAACGGGAGAAAGTGAAATTTTTTTATGAGAAAAAGTGTAATTAGAGAAAGAGTGGACACGAAACTGTGTGAATTTTTATAAAACGAAATGGAATTTGTAAACTCTGTTTAAAGGAATAAAATTTATTTCTTTTAAGCGTATCTTTAAGATAAAAAGGTAAAAAGTGTATGATATTATATCTTAATCTTTGAATAATTAAATTAGTGATTTATTTTATAATTAAATCAAAAGGTAAGAATAGCACAAGAAAGATTTTCGTCTTATTTCACTTTACTATTCGAATTAAATTCAGATTTCATTGAAAATCTTTAAATACAGTATGAATTTTTTCTTTTTTATTATCTTTCTTCCATTTCTTTTATTTCTCATTCTAAAAAATCATTATATAATAAATGATCTTTGAACATCGTGTAAAAGTCAATATGAATGATATATATATATATATTTCTTCTTAAACATGTTCCACTTTCCAAATTTCCACTGTAAATTTTCAAAGTACACGCACTGTTCTCTATTGAGAGCACACCCCATATCTACTTACACACATTTACATATGTGCATGTTCTTGGAGCAGGTATGTAACCTTTCTTTCGCAAATATTAGCATTAACTGAACTTAAATTAAGTGTTAACTTAACACTTCAAAAACTTTCAGTTTCTTTGTAAAGCACTGACACAGATGTTTCTTTTGATTAAATATCAACATTGTGTACATAACACCATTTCGAAAAAGGAATAAGAAAGAGATAATGGTATGAAACAGAAACATTTTCTACGAGAATTTCAATTTATAATTTTAATTATGACATAGACGAGAATAAATGCGGAAAATATTCACATAAAATGATATTGATTACGTGAAGATAATCGACCATCTTCAAAATAAATTATATATAATTGTATTTTATAAAATTATATAGATATAAAAAAATATGATAAACGATATCGATTTCATTATATATTCATTAAAAATGTAAAATATCTGATCTTATAAAAGTTTCATTAATAACTCGAAAATCAAATCCCTATTGTGATAATCACTTAATGATCCTAATTCTTAGAATTAATCCTTAAGAAAACGTAGTTCATTAAAATTTATTATAAAAGATTTTCGATTGTAAAGAAACTAAGCTATTTCATTTAGAATAAAATGAATAAAATTCTAAAAGAAGCTTATACAAAATAATGTGTATATTATTATAAAAAATTAAATAATATATCCAAAATACATATGTAAAGTAACTGATGATATAATTAGACAAGAAAATAATTCTACGTAAATAGAAGAAAAAGAATAAAATTTTTCAAATAAATCACGCTTGAAAACTTTTCAAATATAAATTGGCTAATTCCCGATTGAATGAGTGAATTATTGATAGAAAGTTATTCTATCTATGTAACAAGTTTTTTCATTTAAAAACTAATTCTCGAGAAAATCAAATCGATGTTGTCATTTTTGAGAAATGAATTAAATGAAAAAAATTTCATTCCATGCTTTTCACATAATAGAATAACCTTTTATCAATAATTCATCCATTCTCCAATCGGGAATTAATAAATTTCACTTGTAAATATATATGAAAATTTTCCAAACACGATTTATTCGAAAATGAAAATTTGTGAAAAAAAATTTTACTTCTTCTCTTCCTTATTTCTAGACATAGATGTCACCCCCTGCCCATTTGTCACTAGATCACTTACTAGACACATCCTACGTTCGCAGTTGATAAAAAGTTTGGCACGATTATTTATTCCTTGCATACCACAAGGTTGCTCGTCGTCATGCATCCGTGAAATGATTCCACGATTCGCCACGTTTTTGTCGTCATCCATCTCCCTAAAGCATCTGTCACAGATGGGGAAAACGGAATTGGGGACAATCTCGGTCAACTAGGGACATTTGGTGAGCATGATTACTATCCTGATGAGGAAGATATTAGGAGGGTATAATTACAAATACGCGATAACCCTCGCCGCTATAGAGGTAATGATCGACTCCAACCCTATGATTAATGGCCACTGAGGACACGATAAGGGTAAATATGAACTGCACTGTATTTTCCAATGAATGCCTCTAAGCTGTAATTACGTTCTTTATATTTACTGAAACATTACCATAATTGGATTCTAATTCCGGCTTTATTTAACGCATGTTCCGCGATCTATAATCTTTATGTATTCGCAACAAATTATTGTTGTCCACAAATGGATTGGCTTGCAAAAATAATATTGGACAGAGCATAGGGCGGAGAAACGAGCACGACAAAGAATTATTGATTTTATCTAGTTTCTATCTAGTTATCTGCCATTTGACCAATTTTTTAATTCTAGTATATAGCGCACAAGTGAAAATAAGAAAATGATTATTATCTTAAATGAAATTTGTCTATAAACGTTTCGATGAAACTTATAAATAAATTATTAATATCGTTATATTTATATCGTTATATAAATATTATATATAGTAATAAATGTATCATATTAATATTGTTAAACAAATAGTGTCTGTAAACACTTGGATGCGTCTAAAAAGCAGAACGTATGTGTTAGCAATAAATTCTGCATTACAAAATACGAAATAATTTGAAATGAGAATTCAAGCATTTTAACCAATCCTCGTAAATTAGGAAGCATTATGTAAATAATGATAAAATATAAACGATTATTCGATTGTTCTTTAATTCTTGAATCATTAGCTAGCCTAAATTCTGATACATTACAATTTTTCTACGTTCCAAAACAAGATATTATTCATTAAAAAAATAAATAAATAAAATAAAAAATAAAAATTCAGTGAAAGAAAAAATTCGCATGGATTATTTTATTGACATTCCAATTTTATTACAGTAAATTTTCTCTTTCTTTTATAACTTAATAAATATAATAATAAATGAAACAATATTTAATATCCAATGATTTAATATCAAAACGTTTATAGAAAATTTCACATAACAATTTTTTCTTAACTTCCAGATTATCCTCGCCCAGTTTGAAACACCCTGTATATACCATCATAAGTTCTTTGCTTGTAATAACATTAATTCTATCGTAGTTACGTCAATTGCTCGTGTTTACAATAGCTCTGATGGATTACCGGCACTCAACTGTTAATTAAACGATATTATATTCGTTGAATATACGTTAACCGACCCATAATAAATATTACGCACGAATGATCGTTACACGATCGATACGTGTTCATGCGTTGTCGGCACGGTTTCTGCAATATCCCCTAAGAGAGTAATTGCCTAAACCGTAACTGGCGATGCAGCAGTTTATTAAAACGGCGCAGTCTATCGAGGCTGCGAGAATTATTCTCGATCTTCGATAACGTCAAGTAAATAATCCCAATAAAATCGAACGTAAAAAGAAATCTTCCTTGGCAAACGCGATCGAATTAAACGTGTCGTGAATTTCAAATCGAAGAAAATTTTCTAATTTGAATAATACGGGCAATTTTATCACGCGTCAAATTATCGTTAAACGTGTTTATTGTTAATTTTTTCGATTGTTTATTTTTTTCGGCTGCACGATACATTGTAACGAGCTGAAAATAAAAAATATATATATATATATTCTTGAAAAATATCTACGTAGCGCAAAATCAGAAAGATATTGTATCTGTTAATGAAATTGATAAAAGTTTTCATTCGAAGTTAAATATCTGACGAACGTACGGCGAGAGGTTTTTTGCGTGTTTTTGACCATCAGAGCTTGAAAATAATACTATTTTATTCGTTTTAATGGAAATTAAATTTGATAAAATTCCATTCGGTTAATAGGATTTTTATTTGAATTATTATCACGTGTCAAGATCATGTTGATATAATGGTCTTTCTTTCTTTCTTTCTTTCTTTCTTTCTTTTCTTTTTTTTTATAAAAGCAAATTTTTCTCTTGCAATCTATTCTCTTGGATTCATGGAACGGCTGTAATAAATCACTTCGAACTACGTACGTGCATTTATCCACAGATACAACTGCACATAAATACGAAAGCTCTGAATTAGAAGATTTTAAAATTTTTCAAATAATCGAACAAAGCAACTGGAAAGGAACTGAGAAAGTCTCGCAATTCAAACTTAAAATAATTTGAGACGATTTATCTAAGAATCTCAGTGACTGGAGTTTTCTTTTGTTATAGGTAACAACAATGTAGTTCAAGCATTGATAGAAAGATATTTTTCAGATTTTTTGATTTCAAACAGTAATCTTCGCGCCATTTTAGAACAAATACAATAATATATAATATAAAAAGTCTTTTTTTTTTCATTTAAAAAATATTTTTGTTTTGTAAGATCAATATAATATAATATGCTTGTAACACAATGATTTAATATTTAATAACTTTAGTTAATAAGAATTGTTGGTAAGATTTTTATTCCTCTTCTTTCACAATTCTTTTCTGATTTTATACATTGTAAAAAATATTAATTAAAGTTTCAAATAAAAGTGATTAAAAGTTTAAAAAACTTTTTGCATTCTCTTCTTATAGAAATACTATACAAAATTTATATTTCAAAATTTATTATTTTACTAAGCGCAATAAGAGATTTATTCAATTTAATGTAAATTCAAACACAATCTATTTTTCATTACTAAAAAATATCACTATGAAATATTCCCTAATGATATGTTACATAGAAGCTATTTATTTCAAATTTGCAAATATTATATAATATTTTAAAATATAAACATATCAAGGAAGAAAATATAAGAAAAATAAGTGTAATAAATCTTTCAATTAATTCGTTAATTGATTTTTACGTTCAAAATGATTATTATTCATCAACACTTTTTCAAATATAACGAGAAGAAAAAAGTATGTCTTCTTAAAAGAATTATAAATTGAATTCACCCTTATACATTCACACGTATAATTAGCTTTCAGGATGTTGTACGTTACGGCCTAATAGAAAACAGATGTTCAACAGTGACCGTAATAATATTCATAACTGTGTAATCTGACGATGATCATGATTCAGAGGACCATTCCATCCATGTACAACGTCTGTTGTTAAATTTGTTTTCTACGTTACTTATGACATCGCGTTGATAAAGACGTATCACCCCATTTAAAAAAGAAAAATGTCTCTAACCTTGTGTGGGCGGCAGCCATTCGGATATTAGACGCGGAGGGAAAGAATTCATCTGACCAGCTCAATTGAGCAAAGCAGTCATCCGACAGGGGAAAGTCTTCAATTTGGTTCCTTTTAACGAGACAAAAACTTAAGTTCTCACGATCAAACTCGTTCTTGCAATTCCTGACATGGAGGAAGATATGTACATTGCTGGCAAAATTTTATATTTAAATAATTCGTTGTATAAAGATATTGAATTATATTGATTTGTTTAGCATTTTTTTAAAATAAAATAGAAGCTAAAAGCAAGTGTACAGTTCTCACAATATTTACAAGATGCATGGGCACAAGTTTCGAACGATTATTTAGAGAAATTGTTAAATAAAATATTGAAAATTTGCAAAACTTTTTCCATTCAATACATTAAAATGTTTAATTATATTTTAAAAAAATTTAATTCGAATCTTTCCAAACTTTTTGCCGATATAGTATACTTATGAAAACAAGAATTAATGTGATACAGAATGACATAACGATAATCTTGTTCTACTCTTGATCTTCTCTATGGAATGATACACGAGATACTATCACGTTTGTAATATTTCTCTTTTATGGAGCAATGTATCCGTTTTTTTTTTATATCTGAATAACTCCTACACACGTATACACATGTACGTAATAATTTGTATTCTATTTTCGAATATTGCTTTTATGGTTGAAGTCAAAGATAGCCGCCCAAAAAGGCCTTTATAGCTAGTAATAATCTCAGCGTCTAAGATTCCGTCACGTGCGACAGATTTTGTTATGCGAGTATCACATACCCAGATAAGACGAGGTTCTTCTATTCTCTATTCGTCTCATTCATCTTTCCTCCACATTCATATACGTAACTTCTTTTCATTTCAAACTCTCTGGTCTCGTTGAGATATTACGGTTCCTTTCCTTGTCAAATCCTTTCCTTGCAAGATCCAGTGAAAAGATGAGGTACAACATAAAGTTGTAAGTAAGTTATATATTGTGAGATAAATAATTTATTATATTCTTATATATGAATACTTCTGGATATTTATTACGGAATAATCATTTTCATCACTGTATCGTAAAATTGTATAATTTTGTTTTAAATATTTAATTACACAGAATATTTCAGAATAAGATACTATAATAAGAAAACTAAAAACTCTTCCTTTTTGTATGAATATTTTGAAAGAGAAATGTTTTCAGACTTGTATAATCTCTTTTTAATCTTAGAAGTAATAAGTGAAGAATTTCTTGTATTATTTCGTATGACACCAATATGACACCAAAGATTATTTATAAAATACCCTATATACAGTTTAAAAGTGGATATTTAAAAGTAAGTATAACAATGAATTTTTTAAAAATCTTTCATATAATATAAACTGCAAGAAAAAAAAAAAGAGGAAAAAAGAAAAAATATGAAAAGCTTCAGTGTGCTATTTAATTGAAAAAATAATATGCCATTGAAGGATTAAGGAAACTCTATTTGAAAATTATGTGAGATTAAATTTGGTTAATTTTTGTTTAGCCTTTGCATATTTATAAGCTCATTTGGCTAGTGGCAATTCCTGGTATTAATACAACTGACGGTATTCAGAGAAGAGAATTAAAATGCGCATTTTTTATGAAATATATTAATATGTGGATCAAGTATAGTTTCAGTTTCAGCAGAAACTGGGTTTTACGGAAATACTGATACTATTAATTAATTAATGTTATTATCTGTTATTATCGTATTATTAAAAGTACGAGGAATTTCGATAAATTTCTTGCTTTCACCTCCTACTGGATTATTTAAAAATAATTTTATTCTACCAAAATCAAATAGCTTATTTTTATTTGAAAACGAATAACTTGAAATTCTAAACATTATTATAATTAGACTGCGTATGTTTATGAATTTATTGGAAATTTAAACGTGCAAATTTCATACATTACTATACATACGATAATATAATATGCAAATATAAAGTATCCAAAGTCCAATAAAATACTATAACAATTTGAAAATGAAGAAGATTCCTAACAAAAGATTAATTATCTTCATGGAAATACGAATTTGCATAAACATTCGCGATCTAATTACGATCTTGCGTGCGTAAAATATTCCGAAAGAGAAACCAAATAAAACAAAATAATACATTTAATTATTTCCTCGTGTGTTCCCATAAATTCTCTAAATTCTAAAAAAAAAAAAAAATCCTCCTCCTCCTGCTCTCGCAATCGCCAAAGGGGCCAAGTGATCAATTAATCGTCTGAATTAATCAGTCTGGAAGGAAACAATCTCTCCGTCGAACGTTCGATCGCTGCACGAAATGGAGGGTGAACATATATCGAGGATGCTCGTGGCGAACTAGAACCACCGACCAAAACGTTCACGCATACATATGTCGCACAGGTGCGTATACTGATTGCCGGCGTATACATTTCCTTCACGTGCACGTTCCAGCCAGGGCTAAGGTATCGCGATGATTATCGGGGTGAGTTTGGGGTGGACAATAAAATCTACCACCTAATGGCACGGCGCGCCGGTTATCAACGCCGCAGAATTACCAACGAGCACGCAGTGACAGTGACACTGGCGTGACCGCCACAGTCCAGGCCCTTAATAATGGCCACTCTTCCAAATGACGCACGCCGCGCTGACTTCGGCCGCATTAATTATAATTACGGCCCGTGAAAGCGTCACGTAATACACCGATAAAGTAATAAACTCGAGAGGAGCGTAACCGAGAGGACTTTTCGTACCCGAGCACGGGTTATTACCGGGTTGTTAGCCGCGATAAGCCACGATGACAACGCTGCTAATGGTAAACAAAAGCTTTCGAAACACCGAATCCAGAGTAATGCAGTTGCGTATTTCGTGATCACGTGATATACTTACGTTTGAAAATTGTCGCGAAGGTGGAATTGGAACATCATGGAGGCGGATGAGCAAATGGAAATGATATTTACGTTTTACGTTTCGAATAATTGTTTATCAATTCTGTTATTGCATATTCGAGGAAATTTAATATTTTTTTCTTTAATTATCACATTTTCGATCCTCGTTGAAATCAGTGAAAATGAATAATACGATAGAATATTCTATTAATATTCTATCGTATTAAATCCTTATTATCTTTATTACGAAGGAAAACAAGCTAACGCATTATATGATAGATATGGTACAATTTTGAAAAAAGAAATATTACATCATTGAATATATTTATTTAAACTGGATTCTAATTTAAATGTTGAAAATCAAGAACTTTTGAGTTCATACAAACGGAATTCTATTAAGAATTTCAAGCAAATCGTTCATTTACAATATAAATTGTTTCTCGGAATTTAATGTTTATTAAAATAAAACAATTAATCAGTGAGCATACTAGGTATTATTAAGACTGTGCCTCATAATTTAACGCCACTGTTTCATAATTTAATTATTACTACGAAATTAATCGTGAGAAACGTCCATATATATCGTCCACGTGGTCGTGTTAATTATGTTAATTTGATGAGTTACTTTTTTTACTCTCGTTACGATATAAAACTTTAAAATAAACGAAGCAAATATATAGCAATTTCCTTGTTAAAAGCAATCGATTTAAGAAGGTACATTGAAATTGAAATGAAAATTAAATTAAATCCTATATTATTTTTTCATCATAAATCACCTCCTCCACAATTGCTCCTCCATCGTCATCTATAAGACACTTTCTACATAATCCAAGAAGAGTGTAACGATACTTATAGAAAAAGTTTCCTGTGTCTATCGCACGATGAAAAATTAATATTCCACACTAGGCGATATTCCACGCGAAATTATTAAACCTCGTCTCACGTGGTCTCTGGACGCTCTTTTATCGAACGGTTTATTCAGGTAAATAACCTTACGATAGCTCGAACAGGGGTCTCGATAATCGTACAGGTCGTACACACCGAGCCGAATCGGAACGAGATATGCTAATCACATTATACATCTCGAAATGACGTTTCTGTCGATGTTTTCGCCTTCGTGGTGACGAGATCACTGGTCCCTGACTTGATTTTTTTCTTTTTATTCTTTTCTTTCTTTCTTTTTTTTTTTTGCTTTTGTTCGTTTTAGTTCCGAAACGATGAATTTCAGCCTCGCTCGAGCAAAGCAAGCAAGAGTCACCGATGTCGCACTGATACACCGCAAAGGCTGCTCTGCTCGCCGGGAAAATCACATTAGTGATGTTTCGGTAATCGCTTTTATATCCGCCGCCCGTGATTGACAGTGTCGGCACAATCAGTTTTTCAGTCGCGCACAGGGAAAAATTGGTCCACGTTGCAGAATCGACTTGTCAGCTAACGACTCGACGGCGAAACTTGTCGTGATACCACCCGTTGACTCGATTTGTCTTGAAACGCGTGTGGATAATCGTGAATTACGACTTGGAATGGACTTGATAAGTGTATGTGATAAAATACTTCAGCCGTGTAGTTTTATTGAATGATTGGTAGGATTGTTTTGTTGTTTCCTTTATGACAGAAAAATGTATGTGCGATAAAATAATTAGAATTATACTAAGACTTGAACTATTCTAGAGACGATTATAAAGATGGAGAGTCAAATTTTGATTTGGTTTGTGAATTCAATTTAGAATCGCGTGTAGTTAATGAATTATTAACGAATTATTAACGAAAATTTTGGCAAATTATTGGTTTACTTGGTCAAATACACAACATGTGATAACCTGTTATATCATTGTAACAGTAGTGATGAGTATGTGCTGCTCTCGAGGTTGAACAAATTGTTGAAGTAATATACGTTAAGCCTAGCATATATTCAATACTATCATCGACAATATAGATTTATGCGCTCTGTGATTCAATAATATATTTCGTTAATAATTGGAATTTCTTGATAAAGCCGAAATTAAAATTTTCACGAAAGAGATAATTATTTGAAATCATCTTGGGAATTTCTAGCTTTCGAGTTAATCGATTTCTGAGATGTCCCATTGAAATATTTAATTTTTTCAATTATATCCTATGTGATTTTTAACGATTTGTATAAAATTTATTTTCCCTAAAGATTTCATTTCATAAATGATAAAAATTTCAATTTTTACATCGAAATGTTATATTTGGAAGTACATTCGTATTATCCCGTATTGTTTCTTGATTATTATCGAGAGAGAAAAATTGTTCGTCAACGAGTTAAATTCGTTTTACGCGCTTCTACATTTTAGAAATAATTTTCAGGCGGATATACGTATAGAAATACATAGGTTTTAAGGTAGCACCATATTTCCGGGCAACACAACTTTATTCCAGAGAGTAAATTCTATCTTCACGAGCTTACGGAAATTATTAGCGTGGAGGAGTTAACTCGTTCCTCTGCCTATCAATTTTGCGCAAAATTATTTGGGTGGCCTATTTCTGAAAACGGAAAACGGAAACTCTGCCTGATGAAGAAGTCTCATTAAAATTTAATTACATTGTATATGATATCCGCCATGTATTAATGTGTCATGATGTAGAAATTTAAAAAAGACAAAGAAAAAAGGGACAATAAATCACATTAACGCGAATAAAGAAAAAAAAAAACAATAATGGAGACAAGAAGACGAATTGTGTTTTTAAAATTTTTGAAATAAACTTAGTATATTTCGTAGAAGAGATATTAATAAATTACGTAATATTTCTGTGATAATCGTTAGAATAATTATTTATTTTGAGATTTTTAATCATTTGTATTATTTTTTGTAATTATTTTTCCTCGCTTTATATTATTATTATAACTTATTCACAATACATTAATACTATAATTTTGTTTTAGAATAGAAAACCTACTTGAAGAATAAATTAATATTTAAATCAATAAAGCAAAATTAACAGATTTCATTTGTATTCATCATTAAATAATACAATACAAATAATATTGTTTTCATTAATTATTACAGTAAGCTTTTAATACATTCAAATAACGTCCGCAATTACATCTGCTGTAATTAATTCTTTATTCTGATTATATGTATCATTATATAATTATTAAGAATTAAATTAAATTATTAAGAATTTTTAAGAACTCTCTGCTTTAAATAAATATTCTTTTCAAAAAGATATAACTTTTTATTAATTATGCATTGATATAAAAATTAATATATTTCAATTAATATATTCTTGTACTAATAAATTGATAATATACATTCGTAATTCACATTGCTCGTTTATTCCTTATTAAGTTTTCAATTTATTTATTTTAATATCATTCGTACTTTATCTTATCGTTTAATGCAAATACACTTTTTCGACAGATTTTCAATCGTACCATCGTTACTCGATTTATTATTGCTATTATCGATTCTCAAATTTAGAATTTCCTCGACCAGAAGATCGTTAAAATAAACAATTTAATGTAATAAGAACTACGTTTTTAATCCCCGATGATAATAACGTTTAATTTCCATTCATTCGTTTCAAATTTCCCGCCATTTCTCCATCAAATCTCACGCAACTTTCCCATCAATTACATCCTTCCGCTCGAACGACAATTTTCACCACAGCGTCGTCGCCAAAGAAAGAACAACAGAACAGGCTGATCAGAATCAATTTTCCAACCCGAGTTGACATTTCTATGAGATCGACACGTCTCGCCGCGAAAAGGGCAATATGTATTTAATTCAACGTCGTTATCGTATCAAAGCTAGGAAAAGAAACATATGAATATGTACGTGTATTTAATACACGTCTCCTCCACTTTTTCCTATACTTAGCTCGGAGACACTCGGTCGGCGAACGAGGTCGGTTGTCTCTTTTTCTCACGATAAGCGCCCTCTATTAACTCCTTCAAAGCGTTGCCTTCATTGGCGCGTAATTGAAATGCAGATGACAGGCGGCGAGATATCGTTCTAATTATTACGTTAGTCAAGTTTCAACAATCGCATTTTTATCCGATGCCGAGATCGAGGAGGATGTCAATGGAATTATTTCTAGAGTCGTTTCATCTACATCCATTGCTCGAAAACTCGACCAGTAATATATCGATTAACGTGGAATCGTTGCTCGATCGTTGGAATTATATATTTGTAATTGTAATTTGGATAACTTAAAGTAAAGTATATAGACTAGTGAGAAAATCAAAGTTTTCAATTGATCGTAGTAATTTATCGTAATTTAATGGAATAAACTATGTGTATGCATGAAAATCCTAAAATATATTTCATGAAATTATATACACAGTGAAATTATTAAACTGATCAATTTGAAATTTAACAATATTATTCAGGATACGATGAATCTGATCCAAGTGATATTAATTTATAATTTCTATAACGTTAAACGATAAAAATTATTATATTTCTTTAATACTCTTCATTTTTAATATTATTTAAAAGCAGTTTTACAGTTTAAACGTTACTCGAGTGAATTTTTCAAATAAAACTGTTAGATAAATTCCTCACACGACAAGCAAGAACGACCAGTTAACGTGAGAAAGACGCGGTATTAAATTCCAACTTGGCTGAATATTGTAGGTGTGTACGAATTAACGTGAGTGCTGGGTGTGACTGGAACGTTTTAACAGGTACGAGGATCGCGTAATGTGAATATTTCAAATTGCACTAATTAGTCTCGGCCGAGGGTGGTCAGGTTCTTGGGATCTGGTAATGCGTAAAAGATGGTGGATGGTGAAATAGAGTCGAAATAAACAATGAAATTGAAATACATTCGATATAATTACAAAAATATTTTTTCCCTTTTTTATCGCATTGTATAACGATTTCAAACGAATTTTTCTTCTTTTCTTTTTTCGATAATGATTTGATCTATAAATTGTTATTAAATTAATTTAATAAAATTATATTACACATTCTATATAAATATTGATATATATTCTATATAAACATTTTTGAAATTACATTTTATCAATTATTTATTGGAATTTATTATAAATACGAATTTCGAAAAAAATTTAATAATATTATTAATGTAATATAATTAATTCAAACTTGGAAATAAAGCTATTCTGAATGATAATTGCAATGTAAATAAAGCATTTGGAGAAAATATCGTTAACGAAAGAAAAATACGCCGATGGTTTGTAATATTCCGTTCTGGGGATTTCTCTCTGCAAAACGAGCTGCACGATAAACATAATAATTGAGTACATAACGATGCTTTAATAGTACTGGTACTGGAAAATGATCTTCATCAAATATGAAGAGAGATCGCTATAAAAATGATTATTCAACGATAATATGTTATCTTTCTTCGATTGATTACGTTAAAAACTTGATGAATGGACGTGTAAGTTGAAAAAAATCAATAAGTTGCGTCATTACCAAAATCATAAATGTAAATGAGATCCATTTCTTTGAATGAAATAAGATCTATATGAAAATTTCGAGTACGAAAAGAGTTATGAAAAACTAAATTTCTTTTAATTAAACATTATTTAACAATTTATTTTTTATAGAATTGAATCAGTGAAGTTAATCTCGATCGAAATAAACTTTTTTTCATGAAATAGAAAGGCATATTATTTATTTATATAATATTTAAAAGATATGTAATATTAAAAAAAAAATATTAACAATGAAAACACTTTTGTTACATTTAGATTTTAAATAGAGATTCTCATTTATCATAAATTGAAAAAGAATATGGACATAACTATGCTTTTCTTATCATAAGAATAACAATCTGTTTGTTCCTCTTACTATTCCTCTTTCGTTCCATTTCTCAACGATTAATAATTATAAAAATTATTTTCTCGTTTTAATATAAATTCTTCGCAATAAATCCGTCATAATTAACCGTATTTACGATCGTTATAAAATTTCTTGTTTGCAAAAAGATTAATTTATACCAAGCTGTTTAATATAGTTACTTATTTATCCCTTGTGTATCACTGGATTTCTTTTAATTAAAGCGGACATTTCATTCTGAATAATCGCGTTAATTCACCCTTTCTCTTCGCCTCAATTTAAATAGACGATAAACAACGAGCTCGCCTAACTTTGTCATCGCTATAATTTTTTTTATTCGCATAAATTCTCTTTCAAATTCTTAAACAACCATGTGTTATTATAAAAATCATTCATAGACTTATCGCGTCGAAACGAGTGAATTTTGAAGAATATAACGAATTATATAATTAACAAATACAGTTTCATCGAAAGGTACGAAACAATCACGACGGAATATCAATATGGTTATCGCTTTATGTCATCATTTCCACATATCGTGGAAATTCATTTATCGCTGTGACACAAAACATGAATCTTGTGTATCCACGAATCTCGTACGTTTGATTAATGGATTTACGTTGCTTTTCAAATTTCACATATTTATAGCATCGGTTGTAACAAATCGTAGATACACGTTTGGCGAAGATTGGTCGTGGAAATAAAAAAATAATAATAATAATAATAATAATAAAATATTGATCGACTTCTTTTGTTTTTGTTTTGTTTTTTTTTTTTTTATTTTTTTT